TCAACTACATGTTAGTTTATGGGTCCAATCATGCTTGTTTGATTGTTGTTGTTTTGTTTTTTTTTTAATATTTCTGTTGAATCACAATTCAAAAACAATGTCACAATTTTCATTAAATTGTTATTTATTATTACTTTTGTTAATTTCAACTTATTTCAGCTGTTTTTTTCTCCTTCTTTAGTGGGAGGATATGAACACATTTGACTGTATATGTTTGTGCTTTCCAGCAACGTTTAGGATATTGAGTTAGCAACGTTTCCCTAAAGACACCCCCTGACATGTGCTCTGCTACATGTGCTGCACACAGTGCTGTTGAAAACAACTGTCGGAGCTGCTCGGTTGGACAAACTGGTACCAGTTCAAACTACCTTTTTTTGCATTATGCTCTGTAGAGAAAAAGTTTTCACATCAAAGCATATCAGACATCGTGTCCACCAATACTGATGAATATGAGGCCACGAAATGAGGCTCTAATTATGTGATTTACTGTAAATAAAAGTACACTAGAAAGGGCAAATAGTACAGTGTGTAATCATTGTGTAACCTGTAAATAAAATTCAAGCCTGACACAAGCAAAGTGAGTTAACATGCTTTATTCTATTGTTCAGACGTTACACATGAATCTGTAAAACACTGGCAGTCCATTTCAAGCAATAAGGCTACAGATCAATGGACAGAAAATTATGTAGGATTAAAAATAAAAAGTCCCCCATGTCAGAGAAGTGACACGAGCGTAAAAACAAAGATACACGTGGAGAAATATCGTCAGCGAACGCAAACATGTCGTAAGTATCAGAATACTTAAAGGACTGTTAGAGATAAATCAGGCTGAACATGTGGACAGAAAACATCTATACAGGTGAACATCGTGTGGATGGTGTGTTTCTGTGTTGGCTTAATGGTCACAGTGTTACCGCTCAGAGGTTCCTGCTGTTCCATCGTTTCTCATGTGCAACTACTCATTAATCCACTAGCCGATCGCCAAAGACAATATTCTACATTTCACATCATTTAAAATAAGTTTTCAAGCAGAAATGACAAAACATTTCCTCCAGAAGTCTGAAGATTTGCAGCTTGAACCAAATATTTTAGAGCAAAACAATCTGAATACGACGACTTGTGCTGTGGGAAACTTCTCACAATTTTGTAAATTATTTCAAAGACCAAAGTAATATTTGATCAATCAGTGATGACGATAGTGTTTCGTTTGTGGCCCTACATGCAGCGTTGCTACTGCTGAGGACAGTGTCGGGCCCCAAAAAGGCTGACGTCAGAGATTAGCATTGGTGAGGTAGGGTGCACGATGGTGTAGACATGATAGACGGTAAACGCATCGGGAGCTGGATGGAAAGTGGAAAAGGTTCAGGTCGGTCCAGGTTCAGACTGCTACAGCAGAGTCACGCTTTCATCAAAAACTTAATCCCAAAGTAAGTACAAAAAGTAGATGACTTTCAAACATTAAAACCAGGAAAAGGCCGATAACGAAATGAAGCTTTTGCAATTATAAAGGCAGGCAGACGAGTCAGTGTGGATTATAATCCATTAGCAGTTTGGCTTTAGAGAAAACGGACCAACATTTACACACAGAACACGTCAACAAAACCTGAAAACTCTACTGATGTGACGTAGAAGTGGGTCGGTTTCTACGTGTCTGACTGGCGACTAACGTTTGGCTTCAGAGCATCTATCACAGACGTTATATTTGTGTTATCAGGCATAAAAAGATGTGCTACTGTGATATCAAACAGGCAGAGCAGACGCCAAAACACTGTCCAATTACTTCAACAAATTAAAAAGGCTAACAAGAATAATAATAATAATGAACCCATAGTGGAAAAGTCTGTTTTCATGACAACACTAATCAACAGAACAACGGAAACAAGAAACTAAGTGTTAAACCTTAACATCAATTCGAATATAAAATTTCTTATTTCTATATTGCCTTTAAAAAAATACACTTTATACATGAAATCCAACAATCACACGCACGCCGTCGTGTTCGGCACACGACTCCAGCTTAACAAGAGCGACTGTATCCTCACAGAACAGAGACGGACTCTCATCGCTGATTCTTATCATCTATGAAGCAGACGTATTTATTTAACGCTTTACAGCTGATTATTCAAACAAACACTTCCTGTTTTATTCTCTTCTGGTCTTGGTGTCAAATACGACTCGACAGCATCATCTGGGTTTAACTCACAGTTTAATGGGAGGTCGGACCGGGTCCAGAGCTGGGTAGCGTTGGTGTGATGAGTGAATGATCCCAAAGTCTGAGGCGTGCGGCGCCGGCTCTGACCGGGTTTGGGGTGAGTTTAAAAAAATGCTACAAGGTTCCATGCAACAGTTTTAACCACGTCCCAGCGTGGTTTGCTCATTTCTACATGGTGAACGACGTTTGAATCCGTTTGCTCCCGTTACAAACAGATTGTGGATCAAAAGCTGGTCGGCAGCCCTGAATTAGTTCAGATGCTTCACGTTACAGTTTACTGTAAACGGCTCATTCTCTCCTGCCATCCTCTGGTCATGCAGGCATGCAACAAAAGCACTTTAAAGCAGAGAAACAAATCAAGCTTTCTCCTCAAAGGCCAAGGTAAAAGCTACTTTACACCGAGCATGCAGCTGGGTGGTTTCAGTTCCGTCGGCGCGGACGCTCCAGCAGCACAGAGGCCGACTGTTTGGGGGAAAATACGCAACTCTGGCTGCATGTGATCGCGAAAAACTGGACATGCAGAGCTCGAGGCTACAAATGAAAAGGCACTGTAAAATATTGGCTTGGTGCATATGCACAGTGCACTGCATGCAAAGGGAAAAAACCTCCATGACCTTCTAGTTTGCCCTCTGGAAACGGAATGAGTGGGATCAGGGCCCTAAGGAAGTGCAGAGGCTGCTTCACGGCCACAGTGAGGTAACGGTGAGAACACGTCCACGTGCTGCTGCGCTGTGATCACAATCCACAACACGCGGCTCTTCTTTCACATCTCTCCTACCACAGAAATCAAACGATTTTCTACAAGTGCTGGAAATCATTTCCGCCTGCCGCTGACGAGGCCCGTTTGCTTCAAGGAATGTTTGCAGTCAACCGCAGACAGTCTGCTGCTCTTTAAACTTGAGCGCCATGGAGTTTCCCTCGTTTGTTTCTGAGTAGTAGAATCACGGAAGAACGATTCTAAATGTGCAAAATGAATTATCTAAAACCACCACACATGGCTGACGTCCAGTGCTGCAGCATTCAGTGGATAATAACGTGAAACCTGTGAAACAATCCAAGTGTGTTACTCCAATAAAACCGCATCTACAATCCTTCATCGTGGTGTAATAAAGACGACAGATGCGCTACGTGTAATCAAGCAGCATGGCTATAGAGTAGAAGGTAAGAGTTTCAATGTGCTGGTTGTCAGTGTTTCTGTAAATACTGCAAAGATGCTACCACGAAAACACATCAGTGAAGAATAGAAAACATCACAGGGCTCATCTGATGGCTTTGGCAGGACAGGCGGGGATACAAACCCTGCTGTTCATTCACAAAAAAACAACAAAACAAAAACAAACCCTGATGCTGATCCCTGCAAACCTTCATGAAGCTGACTGAGACTCAACAGAAGTTACGGGTGGAGGACATTTGGGGGAAACTAAAATAATACAGGGTTGGAACATAAAAACAACTTGAAGATAATAAAACCAAGAAGCTAAAGTGATCTGGCAGCGCTGTATCCGTGGCTTTTTGGTAGCTGTGCAGCTGTCAGAGTGCGGCATACGTCTACAGTGATGGTTGGTGGTGTTTATACTTTAAATAGGCTGAACGGCAGAATTACTCTCTGGCCACGTCTCTTCAGTGTCATGCTGAGTGAAACCACGGGGTCGGGGATTTACAGGAGGAGGGCGGGTGACCGGTCTCAGCGCTGTCCCGGGAGAGGACCCATGGTCAGGGAGTCCTCCTCGTCGATGGCGTCCAGCTCTTCCGTGCGAACGGCGTGAATGATGAGGTGGAGCTCCTCGGTGAGCGTCTCGCTGCGGTACGCCACGCGGATGTCGGGGACGTTGGTGCGGCGGATGTCGTTGCTCTCAGGACCCTCCCTGGAGTAACTGGGGCCCAGCCAGTAGCTTTTGGCCTGGAATGAGACAACATGAGTGGAAACCTCAGAGACGTGAGCGTAAACAGGAGGAAACACAAACAGCTGTGTTTGAGGCAACATTGGTTGAAGAGTTATTTTAGGTTTTATGGCGTGTGGGGCACAGCAGAGAACACAGTGTACCACAGCCTAGCTTTATTAGCTACACCTGTACACCTGAAGGCAATAAAATACAACTGGTGTGCCACAAACTCTACTTTAAAGATGCCTGTCATGTTCTTTTATTGTTTTTTTCTCTGACTGTGTGAACGGCTCAGTCACTTCCTCACTTAAAAAAATGTACAGACAAGCATTAGCATCACGTTTCATTCTTTCTGTGATGCTCTGCTGTTGGTCTTTGTAAGGCTGCACCGTCTTTACTCATGTTTCAATGTCTTCTTTTAATGTTTTATGCAAAGTTTATTCATATTATTGTTAATATAACACCACCTTTAACTATGAACATATGATATGAGAACATCAAGTTCCTCGGAGTGCAGATCTCCAGGACCTGAGCTGGAATAAGAACACCACAGCGATCATCAAACGACATCCTGCATCTCCACATGGTCCTCCAGCTGCAGTGTGTCAGACAGAAAAGCCCTGCAGATGGTAGCTAGAGGAGCTGAGAGGGTCATCGGAGTTTCCCTCACCTCTGTCCAAGAACTTCTCCAGAGCCGCTGCAGGAGCAGAACCCTGAACATTGTCAGGGACTCCTCACAGCCTCTCCATGAACTGTTTGAACCGCTGCCATCAGGCAAATGTTTCCAGAGCATTACAGGAAGAACCTCCAGACTGATCAACAGCTTCATTCCACCAGCTGTCAGAATGCTGAACTGCTGATCCAGATACGCAAACACCATCCATCCATCCGTCCATCCATCTTCTTCCACGTTATCCAGAGTTGGGTCGTGGAGGCAGCAGCCTTAGCAAAGCCGCCCAGATTTCCCGATCCGCACACACCTCCTCCAGCTAACCCTAACCCTCCTCCTGGTGGGACACGTCCGGAACACCTCCCCAGGGAGGCGTCCAGGAGGCATCCGGAAAAGATGCCCGAGCCACCTCATCTGGCTCCTTTCGATGTGGAGGAGCAGCGGCTCTACTCCGAGCTCCTCCTGCGTGACCGAGCTCCTCACCCTATCTCTAAGGGAGCGCCCAGCCACCCTGCGGAGGAAACTCATTTCGGCCGCTTGTATCCACGATCTTGTTCTGTCGGTCATTACCCAGATCTCATGACCACAGGTGAGGGTTGGGACGTAGACTGACCGGTAAATGGAGAGCTTTGCCCCCCTGCTCAGCTCTCTGTTCACCACGATGGTCCGGTACTGCAACACTGCAGACGCTGCACCGATCCGTCTGTCAGTCTCACACTTGAGATTGAGATTAAGATACGCAAACACTTCTTTATTTAAATTGCTTTCGGTTATTGAATCCTGAAGAAACAGTCTTGTACTGCTGTGTATGTACAGCCACATGACAACAAACTTGATTTTGATTTGATGATTCAATCTACACCTTTCTGACAATGACTAAACAATACACATTTTGTAGAGGCAGGATTTACGACTGAAGTACAGATGTAATTAGTAAACTGAGTGAATGAGAGCTGATATATAAATAAATACAATGAGCTATACAGAACTTTACCTTGTGTGAAAACCCACTCATGAGGACGCTGTTTCTCGCCAGCTCACACATGTCGCAGGAACTCAGCTTCCACACTTGAGCTGCGATGCTGTACTCCTCCATCAGAGGCTCCTGGGTGCAAACACACACACACACAGACACACACACACACACACACACGGAAAAATGTAAGTTCTACTTTTAATCTTTTTACATGTTGTACTTTAAGTCGTGGCTTTGTGTAGCTTCATACTGACCTTGGTGAAGTGGAACTGAAGAGGATCGTCGGTGGACAGAGAGACCATGAGGCCTCTGGACAGATACTCCATCAGCGGGTTGCGGTGGTAACTGAGGAACAGGCTGTTGTTGCTCAGAGGCGACATGGCGATGCCAATCTGAGCCAGGTAGTAGAGATACTGCAGCACGGGGGCCTGAGCGGTATCAAATAGACGGAGCAGAAAAAAGACAGACGAACCAGTAAACAACAAGCTACAGCGACATACAAGCACTCCTTTGTCTCCGGATCAGCAGCTGCATACAGGATAAGCCGCTAGTTATGACCACCTGTCACAAACCAAACAGTGTTATCCCAGAGGGTATATGGCAGCGTCAGTGTTTTTATGGCACATTAAAGTTACCTATTAATCTACTACAACATCTACAAAAAAAAAAAAAAATCAACCAGCTCCAAGGTTTTTATCCAGCTTTCCAAATTAGCTGTCAAATGCTACAACTCTGTCAATTCTATGCATTATTTTTAGGGTGGTAAAGCCAGATATTTCCATAACAATCCACTGTGTGATGTCCTGACCTTTCTGAGCAGCAGCCCGTGGGAGATGTTTTCTGACAACATGAAACCTGACACCAGGTGGTGGATTGGCCCCGCCTCCCCACAGTGCGGTCGCAGCACAAACGTATGGAAACCTCGTCGCCTGTCCGACACACATACAGTTATAAACACAGGAAAAACAACAAGCCTCGCGACGTTTTGTTGGTGTTTTTTTTAGGAATCAGCAAATGGATGAGAGGTCTGACTGGTTGAATTGGTGTGTCTTACCTTCGCAGGTGGTTGAGCACAGTCATGTTGGCATAGGTGTAGTAGAGGTAGTAGGAGTAGGGCGGGTTGTCTTCTTCTGTCCAGTTGGCTGGCAGCGGACTGTCGAGGTTGAAAATGTGGTGCTCGGGTTTGGACTCATCGTCCACGCTGTCAAAGCCCACCACCTGCGAACACACAACGATCGTCAGACAAAATAACAACCGCTCAGTTTCTTCAGGTGTTCGCCTTCGATTTGCTGTGAAGCATCACTCACATGCTGCAGGAAGAGATGCAGCTCGGGATGACTGCGCGGGTCGATCGAGACTTCAAACAGAGGCATGAAGATGTTCTCCAGCATCTCCTGGAAATTAGCCAGCTGCTTCTTTGTGTGGTACACATCACTGGAAAGGTAGTAATTGAACAGTAGATAGACACTTTATTGATCCTTTGCAGGAAATTGCTTTGCTACAGCAGCTACAATCACAGTCAAGAACGCACAAATACCACTGAGCATGAAATATTTAGGCACAAAATCTATTCACAGAAATATTAAAACCTACTTAAAACTTAGAAGAGAGTAATAAAATATTATGATAAGGAATTTAAAAAGCTTATACAGTGTGCAAAATATAAAAAAACATGTAATGTCAGAGAGCAGTAAGTGTTGAGATGGAAAGAAGTATTATTAGTTAGTGTTTTTTTTAAGTTTCTGTTTTAATTGTAGGAGGCAGGAAATTTTAATCCACATCTACACATGGTGGGGAGTTAGTCCCTGTTTCTCCCTTTACTGATTTAGCGTCATCAGTGTTGGTGTTATTATATCTATAGGTTGAACATGTTGGGTGAGAACTTACAACAGACGGGGCACCTGGACAAGCCAGCGGACATTATCAGAGTACACTCTGTGTTTGACGGCCCACTGAGCCAGCTTGTCCCACTCGTCTCGGGAGCGGCCATAGATGGACAGACGCAGCTCAGAGTTCTGGTACTTGCTCTCCTCCAAGTCGGCCATCACCTCCTGGACAAGCAAAGACCAGAAAGATGGACGTGTAAGCTTGCGTTCAGGAATCATGTGGATGAGGTGCACAATGTATTATTTCCCACCTTTACTATGTGTGCAAAGTATTTTCCTTCAATGTGGTTGTCAGTCTTGATGAAGATTTCTCTGAGGATGGATTCTCCAATGGGGTTGTACTTTGCATTGAACTTGTCAAAACGGTGAAACGTGTTACGGTCCTGATGGGTAAAAGAAAAGAGTCAAATTCTATTTCTATCTACGCTACACGCAATAGACGCTACATCCTTGTACATCTATTAAAAGACTCCCACGTCTTACCGCGTGCATGTCAAGAGTGTCCACGCTCAGGTCAAAGGCTGTCAGGTTCATGCTCTCAAAAACCTCCTTGAGAGTCTGACCGCGGCCACGCTCAATGTGGACGATCTCCTCGGGGTATTTCTTCATGGCTCTCTTGATGAATCGCAGCAGGTGCTTCTGGTTCATGCAGGACGATGCATGTATGTGTGTGTCCACCTGGAATCAGGAGAAAAACAAAGGTCACTCTTTGCTGGTTGTAGAACAGAGTTTTCTTTATACTTTTGTAGATGTGAGTTTCAAGAGCCATCTTGGCGCTACAAGCGACTTTACAGCAGGATCAGTACCGCTTGGTGTTTAAATACTTATCAGGTAAATGTAATGTATGTAGAGTGTTTATTTCATCCTGAGTCGTGGCATGTGGTCAGTCTGAGCCAGTCTTGCCTTTCTTATGTTGTAGAAGTCTCTGTGAGGAACCTTCTTCTGAGCTGCCAGCTCCTTCATCTCATTCAGGAGGATGTGCATCTGATACTTAGAGCTTAGGTACTGCAGGCGACGGTAGCAGAAAGACTTCCTATAAACGCCATCCAGAGGAGACAGGGGGCATGCCTCATTTAGACTTTACAATGAGCCATAAAACAGGAACATCTGCTGAATGACAACGCTGAACAAACACTCACACTGGACCGTTGATAATGAGGGCCATCATCACATTCATGTCTGCAATGTACTCCTTCAGGTCAGGATACAGCAGGTCCAGCTCTGAGCTTCTGAAAAGGGGAAGAGTTTGAAAGTCATACAAACAGAGTTGCGTGTTTGAATTACCATCAGTGAAAGGTACATACTTGTCCATGTTGACTTTCTTGGTGTAGACATGGACCACTCCATCCACCATCTTGCATCCATATCCTGTGTCTGCTGGCATATTCTTGGGGTCCTGATTATCATAAGGGTGTGTGTCGGAAACAGGTGGGTGGACGGGGGCATCTGGGAAAGCAAGGCATGGACATTAATCAGTCTCTAATGCCACCAAAAATATTTTACGACTGATAAAAGCAGTAAAAGGTTGGAGAGAGTGAGGCAAAGTTTTCATGACATCAGTGCTCTAGCAATCTTCTGTTCAGATCGAAAGTGGGACTGAATTTTACAAGCATCATTTGAAATAGTAGTTATGTAAAGCCTTTCAGGAAAATCTGCATAAAAGTTGTTGTCATTGTCAATCCAGAATCCAA